GCAACCAACTGCGAACACGGGACGGCGTGTGATGGACGCGTATTTTCACAATATTTGGGAGGTCTTAAAAGTTTTGTTCGGCGAGATTTAAAAGCTTATTGTTTCTTTTACGTTGCCCTTACATCCGACTGTCTCAAACATTTACTCTAAAACAACTAAGAAGAAGAAGACGCGATCGGTTGGACAAGAACTTTATTCCCCTGACGTTTCGGATTCTCTCTCAAATCCATCCTCAGAGACCATAGCAGAAACGTTTACTTCTTATTAATTACTAACTGGGACTCGCATTTTAGCTTACATCGACAAGTTAAAAGGGTTTTTATTTCCCAAAGAACTTGTAGTATTTCTGTTGTATGCCTGTTCTTAATTTGGTCTTCTGAGAATGCAAGTCTACGCAGCTAGAGGACAGTTAACTTCCTTTTGATGAAAACAATGAAGCCTGTTAAGAAGGCAGAATAATAGTTCATCTGGGCATGCAGTTTTAATGCTAACAGTTTCTGTTATTATGCGTCAATTACCTCAACTGCTTGGAACGCAGAAAAAAGACCGCTGTGGTCTACTATTTGACATCTACTGATACGTCAGCATCGGTACACAGGACGGATAGGAGCTGTGTGATTAAGTAAATCGGTATGAGCCAAGAGCTTCTGCTTCGCCAAAAAGCATTGACAATGCTGAATCTTGTGTGAGTCATTCAAGACTAGAGCCAACTTTGAGATTGCACAATCCTTTAGGGTCTCAGAATGTTGCTAAGGCCCTGCCGCCAGCGCTTCTGTCGCGCGGAGACCGGATTGGCAAGGCATCTGTGTGCTTGTGCGTGCCAGTACGCTTGCAACCAGGCCACTATATCTCACATGCACAGACATGTGCACGTTTGTGTGCCTGTGTTTGTGTCACCCGCACGCTACCCCCTCCCCCCACCTGCTAGCGTTCTACACTGGTAGGCAACGCGAACGTAGCTCTCAAGGTCTTCTGGCATCTATCTGGGTTCCTGCGGGTAAGCCAAGAGGGTGGGGTGAAGAACACCATAAGCAACAGTTCAATTCGCACGGCCATTAAAGCAAACCAAATTCTGCTGTTGCGTTGAATGCATCCTTTGGTTTGCCGAAATAGACATTTGGTAACTGATATTATTAAGGCTCTTAATTTTGAGAATAGTCGCCAAAGCGAAGTGGGATGTTTGCTCATTCAAAAGGGCTCCAGGTACGCTCTGGGCCATGAGGGCTGGCGCTAAGGAAGGAGGGTCCCTTTTCGATGAGGTTAAGTTAAACAAAAGCACAATATGCATTAGTATTTTTAAAAGTAGAAAATGAAATTTCAAATTAAAAACACAAAGCCTAGTATCCGGAGTTTTAACAAGAATGAAACACTTTGGTGTTATGCGTCCTAAGGCACATTCGGAGGTGAATACTGTGTTCCCTCAAATAGATTTGCAAATTCATACACGGTTGTCCTTATGATTTACGGATAGTCACTGACTTAAATGCGAAAAACCAGAGCATTTAAACGTTTTTGTTCTAGGAATTTTACTTTTACAGCAGACATTAGTCATATCTGGAATGTATCATATGCTTTTAAATACGACAGGGAAAGAATAAGAAATTTCTATTGACTTATTCGGATGACAGACTGAAAAACACACATTAATCGTGAATCTCTGACCAATCTGCAAAAAATTTACTGTCAGTGTTTATACAAGTGGATTATTAGAAAACGGCATAAACTACCAGGTTCCGTACGGGCAGCTCAGAAATTCATTCAAAAGGTGGTAACGATTAGGCATTGTATCTCACTGCATTAATGTGAGCTGTTTGAATGTTTAAGTGCTGAAAAGTTTATTATTTCATGGCGTAAATATAAAGCTTCGTCCAGAAATATCTTGCTTTATCATACCGTTTTCATCGCGGATAATTATGTAAGACTTACTTTCATTTAAGCACTCGACAGGATTTCGAGTTTAATCTAACATCATGGAGATCTCAAGGTAAAAAACGAATGCTTGAACTGCATTCCTAATCAACCAGCCTCTGCTGTCATCCCATCAAGTTCAGTACAACCGATCGTGAACTAGTGCAATATTTTCCTCTCTGAGAAAGCTATGAACTGGTATTCTTCCCAATTGTAGTGGACTCGGATGCATTTTCTGGTGTAAAGAAGTTCTTTGGATCTTCTTCGGACGAGGAAAAAGAATTTGTTGATCCATTTGCTATCGTCCAGTTTGCGGGAAAAGAGGTTAGTATACCCCGTTTTCATCTTGCTCACAACTTAACGTATTCTCCAACTGAGACTAACGCTAATAACAATCAACCTTGTACCTTTTCCTTTCAGGTCAAATCCTCGGTAAAAAAGGGAACAGATCATCCAGAATGGTACGAGGAATTGAAGCTTGCTGTCCAGGTAATTATCGGAGAATAAAACAGAAGACTATCCTCAGGCGGGACATGCCTGAAATGTATTGCCATAGTCAGTTTACTGAGTACAACTATTATTTTTCAAGATGACAAAGAATGTAATAGGGAAAACAGCTGACCGAAAAAGGCTATTGCTGCAACCAAGGTTATTCGGCTGTACTTAGACTCGCTACGGCCATATAAGAAGGGGGAAAGATTACGTTGTATGATTTTTTCAACACATTAATGTCTCGAATTCAACTCTTTCTAGTACCAATTGAACCATCAACTTCCTGTATGACAAGAGGATGATTTTTAAACCTCCTATCTTCTTTTTATTTTAGTTCCCGTCAATGTGCGATAAACTCATCATAACTGTTTACGACTGGTGAGTTTCATATAGCTTACCTTTACACAAATCCCCCTTTGGCCCCAGGGTCGTTTTTTCTATGCACGCTGGTTAAGAACAACAAAGCAGTCAGAAACAAGAGTAGACTTTTGGCACCACTGCCATGAATCTTGTTTTGAAAGAGAGTTAAATCTCAGTTTCTAAACTGCGGTTCAGTTTTTCCCTACATCATTCAGCAAGAAACAAGCGCAACTTGCACAGAAAGAAGAGTTAGAAAGAATCCCGGGCACCTATGGTATTAGAATTCACTGAATTGTATTTTTGGGCTTGCATTAATCGGCTGTGATTGGATTAAAATTAGTCAGACAGATAGGAGGCTGGCGAAAATCCATCGATCGGAATTTTGTCGATACTTAACTCATACTGTTCTAATCTTCTGAAACCTTTGGAGGAGCTCCATAGCCACAATGCTCGGAACACAGTATCGGAACCGTAAAAGTAAATTTTTCTTATTGAATCCTGATTGCGTTAGCATAATAATGAGAGATTAGCTTACACCGTCCTGCTAACACCGCGATGTGGGGGAAAAATGAATTTTCGTCAAAATCGTTAGTAAGGCTGGTATCAAGAAATCGCAGCTAATTTGCAGTATTTTTCGATGAACAGAGGGGTTTGGAAAAGCGATGTTAACCGCCGGCTTGCAATAGAGAGGCTGTAATCTATTTTTCTATTTGTCACCAAAAACGATTTCCACGCGCCCAAGCGTATGGCTTTGCGCCACTGACGTCGTCAAGAATTCCGGTAACCTGTGTATTGTCCGGAAATAGAAGAACATTAAGATACATTGTTGTCTTGGCTACGCGTGGTACCTAGAATCAAGGCACAGCAACTTTTATGCAATTACTTTGTATAACTCATTATAGCTTTTCTGTTGACGTCTAATACAGGGACAAAATATCGAAAAATGACCCCATTGCAAGCGCATTCATCAACGTCAATGAGGTTTCCGCACTTCGAGAAGGCGAAGACGGTTAGTTGCTACACCGCTTTTTCAGCGCTGTCGTCTCACCGCATCTAACCCGACTCATCGTTTCTTCTGCACAGTGTACTTTCACACAACACAATCTTGTGTAACATGTCCAATAACCCTGTTTTTCAGCTTTGATCCGCACTAACGTAATGCCGATGAAATGTCTAAAACGCCAAATTTTCAGTGTGGTTTTTCAACGCACACGCAAAAAAGGCTTTTGTTTTCAAGCATAAGTGTTCACCACCAGAAAGGCTAAATACGGGAATAAAGTTGATTTCCGCCAAATGAAAGTACGCATAGATTGCTGAATGCAACCAAAAGTTCCTTGGATTACACGAATGACGTTGATTTGCGTTAAACGATTTCGCAGGTAATATTTCATTCTTTGTAATACAGGGACCAAACTTCAGCCGATGACCCAATTGGACGGTATTGCCTAAATGTGAATGAAATCTGCGTCCATGGACACGTTTCTGGTAGGAGGATGTAGTTTGGGAATGGGGTTACTCGTTTTCGGAAAGGAAATCATTTTGTGCTTTCAAATTTCGCACGCTTCGATGCATGCACGCACCCCCCTAGTTTGATGCACTATGGCTGAAGCTGTACAGCTATCCGTGTTTGCATGCTATACACATTCACTTGCAAAAGGCACCCCCTCATGCTTTTAAAGGTCCGTCCTTTTAAGAATGAAAATTGTAAATCGAATAAGTTTCTGCAGGCTCATGCGTACTACTTTTAGCATAGCATATTGAAGGCCACAAATATACGAGGGAGGCCAAGGTAGATTACACTGGCGTGCTTCTTACGGCGCCTTTCGTGAAAAAAAGGCTCTAGACCGAATCCAAAAAACTAATTATCCTGGAACTGCGACCCTAGCTAGTAAACCTATCCATTCCAAGTTTTACTGCATCCTAAATAGTTACAGTAATAACCGCACCGACCTCATTCGCAGGAAAATGGGTCTTGATAAACGACAAGAAAAGTTTAGAACGAGATACCCTACGC